ATTGGTTAGTTGGTTCATTGGTTAGTTGGTTCATTGGTTAGTTGGTGCATTGGTTAGTTGGTTAACTGGTTCATTGGTTAAGCTCCTCGACTCGGACACAAAGTTTCAAATAATCAGGTAAACTGATATATTTCAAACCTACAAAAAAAATGCAGATATGGTTGAACATATGTTGATGTATAAAATGGTTTTAAATGTTTAATTAGATAACTTACGATTTTGGCGTGTCAGAATATTAAGGAGTGAAATTTGGAAATATGATCCTGGTTGTTTAAGTGTAATTTCTATGAATTTCAAAGTTATTTGTGGATTTGATTGTTCACATCTATTTGGTGATTTCCTATTGATGGAGTACAGAAATTGCCGGAGTATTGCTTTGGTTTGGATTTTCTTCAAAAGGAGGAATTGTTTAAAGATGACATTATGTGGGGGGGGGGGGTGAAGGTAGATTTATGGTCAACAATTGTGGTTTGATGTTGCTGTATGTATAGTATGACAATTAATTAGTGCAAAGTGTACTTACTGCACATTTGCAAATTTTTAAAGAGAGTAAATAAACACATACATTAGTATAATTTCTCACCACATTTTGGCAAAATAAATTCAATATAGTAAAAATAGAAAAAATCTTAGCATGCATGCATTGACAATTTTACTTTAAATACAATTTGTTAGTTGAGTGCAGTAAAAAATAAATTTAAAAAACATTGTACAATCACATGGCGACATGAAAAAAAAAAAAAATAAATAAAATAAAGAATTTGAGCAGTGGCATAGATTTGAGATGCAGCTAAAATATGGTTGTTTTTACTTAAAATTATATAAAAATTTTTAAGATTCAAGCCAGCGCTCAATTGAAACCAGTTTGTGGTGGATTTTAGACCTGGCTTAAATTCATGAAATTCCGACTCAGGTCCGTCAAATTACAAAATAAAGTAGGTGTTACAAGCCTTACCATAGCGTAAGAATAGTATAACATCACAACATAATATATGTTAGCATAACTTCAAAATAAGGATGAAAATGTTTATAAAACTAGTATGAAATAAATTGGCTTCCAATTTTTTCCTGATCAAATTGGATCCTATACGGACAAACTGATCTGAGGAAAATTAGAAACCTAGTTAGATAACTTGAGCATACACCTGGAAATTGTCTGCCATGCTGTATAATTTGTATTTATTACAGGCCTCATCAGCATCCTCAAAGTTTTGGTAGAGTGATGTTATGAATAGAGTTTTTCGGATGTTTTTGTCAGTACATTCAAGCTCAGATGTATTAAACATTGTCTCCTTGATCAAACTTCCTAAATGTTTAAGTATTTATCCTAATGTATTATGGACTTCATAGTATTTTTCTGAGATTTATAGAAACATGCTGTAAAGAGTTGACAAAAAATATGAAGAATATGGCTAATTTTATATGGCTAGGGTTTCCATTATTCCAAAAAAAATTTCCGGAACCTTGTCCTGATAATTTCCCGGAACAATTTTTCCGTAAACTGGAATTTTCCCGAACAATATTCCGGAACAGGGTTTTAGTAATTTCTGTTTTAGGGATAAAAAAGTCATTCCGGAATAGATCAGGGATTCCAGAGCCTTCTCCATAATGGAAATGGAAAAAAAATTCAGGATCATTTCCGTACGTAAACCGTAACCCAAAATTCCAGTGGAGACACTAGCTAAGTCATTACAAATTTTCTACCAATAAATTTTCACAAATTTCAAGTATTGCCAAATTTGATGAAAACCCGTATTCTGCTTCATTAATACAATATTTGCCTGTTATATCCCAAACTGTATCTTCGTTAATGATGTTGCCAACAGCTTTACTCGGAAGGCAATTAGAGTACTCAGCTAGTTCATCAGGACTAAAAATATCAAGATAGTTAATAAAGTATCCCAAAAAAGCTGGTACTGGTACACAGTCAAAAAGTCAGAACATTGCAGGAAAGATCTATCACTAAATTCCTGAAACCAGCAGCAGGGCTATTGGCAAAGAAATCTTAATTTGCATGATAGCCCATCACAACTAGAGACGGGCGCGTTTTTTCTTTTTAATTTGTCTTCATGGTTCTTTAACAAGGAAACACAGGTTTGCAACAACATTAGCTGGTGGCAAGGGATAATAGAAGGGGGGGCAAGAAGGGCAGTGACCCCCCCCCCCCTAGAACTCAGAGCTATCACACTTTTCAAATCTTAAGCTAAAGACTGAAGACTGAAGAACAGGACAAAAGTAGTTTGCTGTTTATAAAAAACACCAAAAAACAATACATCCTATTGCAGTGCTGTAACCTAATTTTCCCTTTTAAGTTTTCACAGAGTTTTATTTGAAGGAGAGATAAAGTAGTACTTAAGTAAGCAATTGGAAGGTGGTTGGACTGTATGTGATTGTGTACCTTTAAAGTATCTTAAGCTTGTGTGACGTTTGCCTGATATCCAAGAAGCTAAATGTTCTCAATTTACAGTTCAAACTTTGCAGAGTAAATAATTTCAAAAAGAAAAATTACAATAAAAAAGAATGGATGTAAATTTTCAATAACCTTCAATTTCGTAAAATGAATACCATGCTCAATAAAAAGTATGTCTGATCATCTAGAAGCCAAATATTTTGAATTTACAATTCAAATTTTGCCCCCCCCCCTTATAAACTCCTATTTTTATAGTATCCTAAAGGGTGACATAAATTTAAAAAAAAAGTTTTTCGAAAATTCCACGGCCAACCCCGGGCACTTCAGCTAGTTTACAATAAAATGATTTACCTTAACACCCGGTCCCAGACATTGACAGATGCCAACATTCCAATCAGAGGCTTATTGTCAAAAAAGTAATGTCCTAAAACATTTAGTAAGATTACCTTCTTTTATTTATGTTTATAAGTTTTTAATCAAATATGCATCTATTTAAGTTATAAAATTGAGAGGTACTAGGTTTTTAGCGCGCCTCGCGCCCATCTTCTATTTAAATTGTGAACATGTTCTTTTTGTTTACATTTTAAAACAAAGAAGGAAAAAATTTTGCGGATTTAAAAAAAAAATCGCGGATTTTCAAGAATTTAAAATTTTTTACAAAAATAAAAAACCATTAAAACAAGTTTTTTTAATTTTTATCAATCATTAACCTTCCCTGTGGTCACGTGATGTCCCACAAAAAATTTGGGCCCGATCGGTTCAGCCGTTTTGACGTTTATTGGATACAAACAAACAGACACCCAGGAATGACCTGAAAAAAATATTCTTTTTAAATCTAGAAAAAGCTTTAAACTTTATCTTGATAATGAAATCTTCAAAAAATCTCCCCCCTAGACCTGTAAAGGGGCCGGAACTCAGAGCTATCACACTTTTCAAATCTTAAGCTAAAGACTGAAGACTGAAGAACAGGACAAAAGTAGTTTGCTGTTTATAAAAAACACCAAAAAACAATACATCCTATTGCAGTGCTGTAACCTAATTTTCCCTTTTAAGTTTTCACAGAGTTTTATTTGAAGGAGAGATAAAGTAGTACTTAAGTAAGCAATTGGAAGGTGGTTGGACTGTATGTGATTGTGTACCTTTAAAGTATCTTAAGCTTGTGTGACGTTTGCCTGATATCCAAGAAGCTAAATGTTCTCAATTTACAGTTCAAACTTTGCAGAGTAAATAATTTCAAAAAGAAAAATTACAATAAAAAAGAATGGATGTAAATTTTCAATAACCTTCAATTTCGTAAAATGAATACCATGCTCAATAAAAAGTATGTCTGATCATCTAGAAGCCAAATATTTTGAATTTACAATTCAAATTTTGCCCCCCCCCCTTATAAACTCCTATTTTTATAGTATCCTAAAGGGTGACATAAATTTAAAAAAAAAGTTTTTCGAAAATTCCACGGCCAACCCCGGGCACTTCAGCTAGTTTACAATAAAATGATTTACCTTAACACCCGGTCCCAGACATTGACAGATGCCAACATTCCAATCAGAGGCTTATTGTCAAAAAAGTAATGTCCTAAAACATTTAGTAAGATTACCTTCTTTTATTTATGTTTATAAGTTTTTAATCAAATATGCATCTATTTAAGTTATAAAATTGAGAGGTACTAGGTTTTTAGCGCGCCTCGCGCCCATCTTCTATTTAAATTGTGAACATGTTCTTTTTGTTTACATTTTAAAACAAAGAAGGAAAAAATTTTGCGGATTTAAAAAAAAAATCGCGGATTTTCAAGAATTTAAAATTTTTTACAAAAATAAAAAACCATTAAAACAAGTTTTTTTAATTTTTATCAATCATTAACCTTCCCTGTGGTCACGTGATGTCCCACAAAAAATTTGGGCCCGATCGGTTCAGCCGTTTTGACGTTTATTGGATACAAACAAACAGACACCCAAACAGACAAACAGACAGACAAGCCAAATTTATATATAGATATCTCATTTTCAATGAAATCAGAAATTTTGTGTTTTGGAAATATTTTATTGAAATTGAAATATTCAGACTGAAAAACCCAATAATGTCCAAAAAGCAATCGTTTTTTGCCGTTCATGAATTTCGTGATTTTGTTGCTCGTTACCGAAATTTTCTGTTGATTTACCACGGGCACTAGACACTAGACACTAGGTTGACTAGGCGGGCTGGTACGAGTAAATGTGTATAAAAAGTATGATTACAGTAGACCGGTAAATCATAGTAATGGTTCGGATCATGAAACAAGTTCAGAGCTGGGAACTTTAGAATGGATAACTACTTAATCCGAATATCCACTGTGGAAACTTTTAAATTTAGTCCTTAATCCACTCTTTTTCTCTCTCTCTTTGGATATCCTCACATTATTTTCTCCAATGAGAGTGCAGGAATATAGTTAGTAAATTGTATTGATCAATGAAAGCCTTGTAAATAAATTCTATCCCATGAGAAAAATCCGCAATTTCTAACAAATCAAGAATTTGTTGTCGGCCATTTTTGTGAATTAATAGGCGAAGAAAAATATTTAATAATACGTTTGAGATTCTTTTGTAACCAATTTTAACTAATGTATTAATAAATAAATGTGTGAGAAATTAAGTAAGGGCCCTTCTAAGTTCTAGTCATGAAAACGAAAAAATCTGGCGTTCCTTTAATCAAATTTGTTGATCTAAATATTTAATCTCTAGACTAACATAATCTCGAGATTAGCAAAAAGAAAGGATTAAGCATTAATACTGATATCCACCATTCTAAAGTTCCCAGGTCAGTAACAATCAAATACATATATTATTAATTTTATTCACCTAAGCGAACTACCATTGGCAGCTGGGTATTGTTGGAGAGACGATTACGAAGGATACTAAATAATTGATTAGAAAGATATAATTCAATATTTTAAAGCAATCCACACAATTTTAAAAATCATGCATCAACTATTGAGACAGGGCCGAAATTTAAGTGTTGCCAAGTCTTTTCCCTGGGTTTTTCTATTCTTTGATAAGCAAATTTTGAAGTGCGAAGGCCTTGTGTGGTAACATAAGTTTTGTTTTAATTGACAATAAAGGGAATTTAAAGGGAGTATCTGCCCAGCCTTTTTAGATCACAAAAGTAGTATTTACATAACCAGAAGTGACCCTCCAAACTATAAGTACATGTCTGCTTTACAACATTACCCTTAAAATGATCAAAAATGAATTAGATATCCAAGTTTTTAGCTTTGAAGAATAATTTTATTAATAGTGGTTTCTACAACAGAAACATTAAGGGAAATTCAAATCTTCTACATTATTGAAGAGACAAAGGTTCATATTTATATAAGTCTAAATATATACCTTGAAGTGGCTTCATTCTCAAAATCTGATTTCCCATTGATGTACACCATCACTGAATTCTTATTCATATTCAGAGATAAACAGATGTGAATCCATTTTCTTACAAAAATCGGAAAGTTCTAAAATACATTAGAATTATAATTGTCGTCTGCTTTCTTTATTCTATTTATAAAGTACAGAGTGGCACAAAAAAAAACAGGGATTAGGACTTTTTTAGCACTTTCATTCGTTTGAAAGGACTCAAAAATGTGCCTCAGAAGGGGTCGTCTAAATAACTTTTTATTGTTAGATCCTTTCGTTTGGTGCAAAACCAAGTCGAATATTCGAAAACCTCTATATGTTAACTTCTGCTAACAAATGTTATTTAAGAAATAAAAAATAATTTTTATAAATCTGAACCAATTTGGCCCCAATTTGATGCCATTTTTAGGTTTATGATTAAAAAATCCCAGAAGAAATATCTAAGTCAGTTCAGATTTATATAAATGAATTTTTTTATTTCTTAAGTAATATTTGTTAGCTGAAGTTAACCGATATATTTTCGAATAACAAAAGATCGGATGACAAAAAGTTAATTAACGACCCATTCTAAAATTAAAAACTAAATACTACGGCCCATTATAGTCTTTTTAAACGAATAAAAGGGCGGAAATACTCTAATCCCTGTTATATGGGCCATCCTGTAGATTTTGTAATAGTGCAATCCATAAGTGTTATATCATTATATAAATATTTGTTCAATTTTTTATCAGTAATTTATATGTTTCAATATATACGTTCCGTATACAGTGAGAACAAGAACAAAATGGAATAGAAACTTTAAATTTTATTCAAATTAACCTGAGACACAGCAATTCTTGATAAGTGATTTCATAAGTTACTACTAAACTATTTGCCTGGTATACTATCAAGGTAATAAGACAAGGAAAGTAAATTGCTGTTGCGTATACTCCGCGTGCATATTGAAACCAGTTCTCTCTGGGCGGTGTTTGTAAACAAGAATAGATGCATTAGTGTTCCTCCAGAATCCGAGGAGGATAAAGGCATTTAAATTTGAACATTTGATTATTTACATGAAAGTATCCTATGACCAGAATATTTCATTTTTTTTTATGTGAAAATGAATTCCATGTCCGGCTGTGACATCCGTCTTGTGTTTACTTTACCGCCCAGAGACAGTACACTGCAGTACTAAAAATGCGTACACCTCTGAAATTGCTATCTTTACGTTAAAATTCTTTGGGTACAATTAAGTATGGCTATTATGTCATCTATCTATTCTACAGTTTTCTGGTTCTCACTATATATATATTATTATGTACTAGCTGCAGTGCCCGAGGAATTTCAAAAAAACATTTTGAAAAAAAAATCATCATCATCAGGGTAACTCATGCTCAGTGGTTAAGTCTGTATTTTAAACAGGAAGTGTTTAAATTTTGCCTTTAAACGGCCTGTGTAATATGCGTTAATAAAGATTCGTCCACCAGACACACCATCAGAACGATCTAAAATCGAGAGCAGTTTTTATACTGATAGATATTTCATAATAATAATAATAATAATGATTATAATATTAATATTAAAAACCACTCGAAATAAATGCAAAAGGGTTCATGAATAATGCCTGGACATTTAAACAAACAGGAAAAGACTTCTGTTCATAATTTTTATAATTTTGTTTTATTAAGAAACTTGGCAGAACCAGGCAAATGCTCCCAGTAGCTGCGTTTGAAAGTTTCAAGATTGGCTTTTTATACAGAAAACTTAGTCACAAATCCGGGTTACCAAGCTTATTTTACTAATTCAATTGTGCGTTTTTTAATATATTTTTAATAATACTCATTTACTCTGCTTTGAAACATTTATCATTCCTATATGAGGAAGGATAAGTGCATTCCTAAGGTACAAAGGGCCGTTTTCCGACAACTTCCTTTTTAAGGAACTCTGAATCGAAATGACCTCGCTGTCTTAGGACTAGACTTTTCCTTCCTTTTATAGGAATGATAAATGTTTCAAAGCAGAGTAAATTTGACATAAGAGAAGGTTAACAAGGAGGTTTTGACTCAACTTCCTATTAGAGGGAGAAATCAAGCTAAACTGCCTATTTAAGAACTTCGACTCGAGTCGTAATTCCTTAAACCCGACTTTAAGCCCCAATCTTCGACCCAACTGTGACGATAGCTTGTGTCCCGTGATTGACAAAAGCAAAATCTTCGGCTCGACTTAAGGAGAGTTAGGCCGAATGAAAATAAAACCAACCTTGGTTGGTTTAGTGGAGAATAAGGCTCAATATTGAGTATTGTTCTCAAAAAAACCCGGAATGCGTCAATTCCTACCATGAAAATCCGCCAAATAGAATATTAAACCGGTTTTTTTTTAAACTCAAATCTGTGGAAAATAAGATTCAGCTTGAATGAGAAAGCTCAAGAAGGCCCAACGACAGCTTAGACCCTAGCCGTATTTTCCCGAATTTTTTAAATCGCAGGCTCAGGAGTCCTTACGAGGCATTCCAGTTTTGAGACGATGGAAGTATTCGGTGTAAGAGTTATATGATTAAAACATGCAAGATTTTATTCTCAATTTAGTTTAGCTTAACGTGAAAGAACATAAAGATACTGACACATGAGAGATATCCACAGATCCTGAGTGTCATTCAATCGATAGAACTCTATGATAGGGATTTGATCGCTATATCTATCAAACTCAGCAAAGCTCCGCAAACAGAAACTCATCTAAACACAAATATTAAAATAAAAGGGATTGTTCACAATTTGTTCGCTCATTAAGAATAAAGCACGTTTGAATATTGAGAACTAGGAAACCATGCAGCTCTCTCTAAAAAGACTGTACTGTTGTCTTTGAAGTCTCACTATGTATGATTACCCCTGTATCTTTACACATTTCTTGTTTTTATCCTGCACATTGCACGTGAAGATATTATGATGTTAATTGTGACCCCCCCCCCGCGGACCTGATCAGGGATTGGTATTTCTGTAGTTTTCGTAGCATATCCGTTTTCAGGTCCAAATATATCTTCAATCTAAATAGAAGAAATTAGCATAATCCAGGGACTGAATATTATGAATTGAAGACGTAGCTGAACTGCACTCCGTCGATTCAAATCATAAATTACCGATTAAAATCCTCTTTAACTTTAAATTGGTGTTTCAGGACTTAAACCCACTATAGTTTCAGTAGAAGTAAATATTTCCATTTACTGATAGCGCCGATATAAGGATTTATCTCTAATTGGATAATGAAATAGATAGAAAGATAGATTTTACTGCCATACTATTTCTATTGGTTCAGAATTGGCAACAATCACAGGACTGAACCCTGATTGACTCGGCATACAGGACTTGAACCGGCGGTATAGGCAGTTCAGCCACCTAGGACAAATTCATTAAGCTTGAATCCAGGAACCAGATTTAAGATTCAAGATCTCCGGTAATATTCAAAAAGAAAAAATGGAGACAAATTTTGTAAATGCCGCGAGTTATTTGAAAGATCAAAGACGATCTTCAAATCATCTCTTAACTGTCATGTTTCTCTGAGTTTCTCTAGGGGAAGCTAACGTTGATTTCCATCTAAAAAAGTGCTGAATTCATTTGACATAATATTTGTGACATCTTTTAACATTATCAAAAAAAAATTTATGATTTTATTTGTTATTATTATCATTTTTATCAAACTTTATCAAAACTAACGAACCTTTGTTTTCAGAGCAAATGAGAGTTAAAACTAAAAAACTAAACAAAAAACGATGATAGGTTTGTTTTCCTGAAAAAAGATAGTATTTGAAAATTTGAATGGAACTAATTTATTATTATTATGAAACCCCTTGAGGACCTGCCCCATGGTCATGGTGACAGACGAGATTAAGATCGGTATTATCATCAGCTGCAGTAGTATCATCTTCTAATATATTGTAAAGAATATAAGCTAGAATCATTACAGGGACTGTAAAAGTAATACTTTGACAATGTAAATTACACGTATAAGGCACAATCTTTACAGTTTATTTCAGCCAGGACCTCTCTAACCATTACTGGTTGTTTTGAATAAGCTGCCCTTTTCAGCAGAAAATACAAATCAGACAAAAGCAGAAAAATCAAGAATATAAAAAATGACTAAATAAAAAAAGAAACTGTTATGCCCAACCCCTGCTAGGTATGTACTGACATACATGGAAAAAATTGGTCTGACCTTTATTTGATATGAATTGGTCAGTATATTTCCTAAAGATCATGCATATTTCATATAGGCTTTCATGATTGTTAAAAATGTCAAAGTAAAAGGTCTGGTTAACAATATCAAAAAAAACAATATGTATCTATCTATCTCAATTTAGTTTATAAGCAGAGTACAGGATTACTAAACTAATCCTTTAATTAGCAGGTTATTTTCTTGAACGAAGATCCACTCCAATCTAACAACATGTACTGTATATGCATTCAGTCGTACTCTCCAGCCTGGACTACCCAATAATACCTTCGAATCTGAGAAATAGAACGATCGCAAGAATGCACTAAGGTGTAATTTATGATTCTTCTTGAAATTGTATTCCGTGTTTTAAAATTCTAGCCGGCACTCAATTGGAATTGGCTTTAAGATTCAGCAGTTTAAATTTCTTTAATTTAATGGCCTCTGAATAAGCTAACACTTGAATACATAAAATAAGAAAATCTAATATGATTCTTGTTGTTGCTTATAGATTACACATTTCGAAAAATGTATAGGCGCAGAATTTCTCCTGGGTAATTTACGGCTAAGTCTATCAAACCTTATTTATCCTTTTACTAAAAAGCATAGGAAAGTCTGGCAGATAGAAACACTGTGGGCTCATAAACATTAACTCTAACCATTAATTAATTAATTAATACTAAAAATGAATATTGTGATTCAGACTAAGAGTAAAGATTGACTAAGAATAAAGGTTGTTGCTCGGACTAAGAATGAAAATTGTTGTTCTAGTGTAAGGTTAAACCTGAATTAACCCTGGTAAACTAGATTCTAAACCATGTTGAGCCTAAACCATGATATTGTTGTTCTATTGTAAGCTTAATCCTGAACCCTGATAAACTAGATTCTAAACCATGCTGAGTCTAAACCATGATATTGTTCTAGTGTAAGGTTAATCCTGAACCCTGATAAACTAGATTCTAAACCATGCTGAGTCTAAACCATGATATTGTTGTTCTAGTGTAAGCTTAATCCTGAACCCTGATAAACTAGATTCTAAACCCTGCTGAGTCTAAATCATGATATTGTTGTTATAGTGTAAGCTTAATCCTGAACCCTGATAAACTAGATTAAGCGATAAAAAGTCGCCTAATCGGGTTAAAAAGTTGGATGGCACCTGATTAGCGACAAAAAATCGCTTCACATAAATCACTTATTTTAAAATAAAAAATTGCTTTTTTTCAACAAAAAAATCGCTTATATTGCAGAAGAAATTGGTGACTGCCAAATAAGCGACACAAAATCGTTTATTCTCAAGAAAAAATCGCTTATTTTTAACACAAAAAACGCTTATTTTTAGTGAAATCGCCTATTTAAAAAAAAAATCGTTTAAATTTAACAAAAAAATCTCTGATATTCAACAAAAAATTTGCTTATTTTCAACAAAAAATTGTTTATATTTAACAAAAAAAATCACTTTACAGTACACTTTACAGTTCATAAAGAATTGTACAGTATGTTGTTTAATTTCTCAAACTTTTTAGTTAAAAAGTTATTGAAAAATTTGAAAGTAGCAACACTAAAATCGTTTACAGTACATTACAAATTGTACAGTATGTTGCTTAATTTCTCAAACTTTTTTGTTTAAAAGTTATTTAAAAATTTGAAAGATATATAATAATGATGTGAATCCAGTCCTAAAGCATAACTAGTCAATTTTTTTAATAATATTGATACGGATATCTTTGTTACACTCTTTAAAAGTTCTTAGCACAACTAAACCATATATCTTTGTAAACTAAGGATGAAACCTCTGACATCTCGGCTTAGAATTATTGATCTAACAGAATTCATTGTGTGAAATACAGTGCTTAGGATCCATTTAATTTTGATGCGGATGTGGATCCGGATCCGGATCCTGGATCCGCACTGGGAAAAAATGGATCTGGATCTGGATCCAGGATATTTCTATAAGATTTACGGAATCTTTTTAACAAAAAATAATTTTCAAATTTTTTGTTTCATTTTTTTCGCATATTTTTATTTACTTGATGAACGAGATGAACCATTCAGAAATGAGGAAATTTTTATAATCTCTTTTTTTCAAAAGTTCAGATTTTGGTTTCGGGAGTAAAAAAGGGTTTTTTGCAGTTTTTGGTTGATATTTTACCCCTTGGATCCGGATCCGTGGATCCGCATATTTTTGCGGATCCGGATCCAGGAAGCCAAAACCTTGCGGATCCAACGGATCCTAAGCACTGGTGAAATATCTAAAGTCTACGGCATGGGATTGCAAAAATATAGGGTTTAGAAAATCAGAGTTTGTGATAGAACCTCGGTTCCATTTTTAAGTGTCCTTATAACTTGTCAGGATAAAAAGGAAAAATAAATCCTGGGGCTTTTATTACAAATGTTATCAATTCAGTGCTTAGGATCCGGATGCGGATCCGTTGGATCCGCAAGATTTTGGCTTCCTGGATCCGGCTCCAGATTCTCAAAAATATGTGTATCCATGTGGATCCGGATCCAAGGGGTAAAATATCAACCAAAAACTGCAAAAAAACAACTTTTTTACTCCTAAAACCCAAATCTGAACTATTGAAAAAAAAGAGATTATAAAAATTTCCTGATTTCTTAACGCGTCATCAAGTTTAAGCATAAAAATAAGCGAAAAAAATAAGACAAAAACTTAGAAATTCTGCTTCGGTAAAAAATTCAGTAAGTCTTGAAGATATGACTGGGATCCAGATCGATTTTTTTCCAGTGCGGATCTAGAATCCGGATCCGGATCGTCATGAAAATTAAATGGATCCTTAACACAAATATTCTATGATAACCAAGTGCTTAAGATCCATTTAATTTTGATGCAGATCTGGATCCTGAATCTGCACTGGAAAAAATGGATCCGTATCCAAATCCGGATCTGGATCCAGGTCATTTCTATAAGATTTACTGAATTTTTTTAACAAGAAATAATTTTCAAATTATTTGTTTTATTTTTTTTGCTTATTTTTATCCCAAAACTATAGCATGTCCTAGCCGCAGTGCTCGGCCCAGAAATTGTCTTAACCTAACCTAATCAAATCAAATCAATCCTAACCTAACTTAACCTTAAAATAATAAAAAATAAAAAATAATAATTTATATGGTTAAGGATAAGCTCCCCACCCTCAGGAAAAATTCTCCCGATCCTGAGCTTCTCAATCGTTTCATCCAATAGTTTCCGACATAATATGTTGTTTGCTGTTTGATTTGAAGATTAGTTTTTTGAATATGAACTGTTTAGCAAACTATTTGGAACGTTTAACAAATAATTTGAAAAAAAGAACAAATCTGTAAACTTTAAATCTTGATTTCCCACTGATTTCTGAGACAGCTTCTGTTTTTTTTCAAAAATTCACATAGATCACAATTTGTCATAATTAGAAATGAACAGGTTAACTAACTAAATGTTAAATGAGAGACAGCAATGAGCAAGAATGCTAACTATCAGCTGATTCATATTCTGGTTTGAGTTTTTGGCTACCTGCCTGAAAATATACGATTATTAATCGCTTATTAGGTGACTTTCAGTCGTCTAAAATGAAGTTATTTCTAATTCAAAATTGGCGATTTAAAATCGTTTAAAATGCAACTAAAAATTGCTTAATTAACAAATTTTTGTCCTTAATTTCGAATTTGAGTTTATAGACGATTTAAAAATGCAAATTAGGCGACTTTTAGTCGTCTATTATGAAGTTTTATTTACTTCACAAATCACGATTTAAAATCGTTTAAAATGCAACTAAAAATCGTTTATTAAGCGACTTTTTGTCCTTACTTCACTATTTTGAGATTTAATTAAGAGTGCATGATATTGTTGCTCTAGTGTAAGCTTAATGAAACCCTGATAAACTAGATTCTAAACCATGCTGAGCCTAAACCATGATATTGTGCTAGTGTAAGCTTAATCCTGAATCCTGATAAACTAGATTCTAAACCATGCTTAGTCTAAACCAGGATATTGTTGTTCTAGTGTAAGCTTAATCCTGAACCCTGATAAACTAGATTCTAAACCATGCTGAGCCTTAACCAGGATATTGTTGTTCTAGTGTAAGCTTAATCCTGAACCCTGATAAACTAGATTCTAAACCAAGCTGAGTTTAAACCATGATATTGTTGATCTAGTGTAAGCTTTATCCTGAACCCTGATAAACTAGATTCTAAACCATGCTGAGCAAGGGTTTCTCCAGTCTGAATTTTAAAAGCAAAATTCCAGGTTTGGTCAAATAGGCTTAATATATCCTGGTTTAGTTGTAGGATTTTTGGAGGTTTTACGGCTTTACAGCAATACTGAAGTGAATTGATGTTGTTACAAAGCAAATAGATTTAATTAACAATTATAAAATAATTATATTTGGTGAAATAGGTCTGTTTACACTTCACACTTGCTTTGTCTCATGCTCCTTGGACTTTTTAAAGTTCTAATTTTATTCTAAAAGTCGTCTTTCTATTTCACAGTTTTCTGCTAATCACAGTATGTAGAAAAGATGTACCTTATTTCCTCAGTTGAGAGCTTTAAGATATATTTAATTAAAGTTTGGTTTGTAAAATGAACTTATCAAGGTAGGATTTTATATGTTGTAAAGTTAGCTCACATAACTGCAAGTTTTCTTCAAGTTGACGAGATATTAGGAATTAAAGGCTTAATTCTATGATAAGATTGAAGAAAAGTATAAATTATAAATAAGGAAACTGTATGATAAAATTTTTGCCACAAACTAAGTTTTTCTAATCTCAAAATCTTTGCAACTCAACATTTTCAGGCTTTTATATTTCAAACAATGAAGTTGTTACTTCAAACAATCAGATATTTACAGTTTACACCACCAGATAGCAAAGATATAGATATTATAAAAGTAATTGAGCCTTTGGAACAAACTCAAAATTTCTAATCCCGGGGGCGGGGAGTCTTGAAAACTGAAGAGGGGGGAGGGTCCAAG